GGGATCTTCTCTGCATTACTGTACGATCTTTACCTGAATATGTGTATTCTCATAAAAACTAGAGAAGCATTTAGATATGAAACAAGTCCAATAGCTTTGCCTCTGCACTTTCAGCTGCTCAGGTATGTTTGTGTGGACTGGTGCAGGTTAAACACAACGAGGGTTCATACAAACACAGATCATTTTATTTGAAACATTTGCATTAAATCCACTCACAAATGCAACATTTCTCTAATCTAAGTCAGATGTAAAAAACTAAATAACAATCTCGGTTTGTGAACCCGGACAAATTAGTAACAGACTAACATTTCAAACTGAGAAAAGCTCGAAGCATCTGTACACACCACCTCCCCAACTATCTACATCTCACCGCAAACTGTTTCAATACTTTAGCATCGTAAGAGTTCACGTCACAGTCTGTCTGCTGCTGAGCCCTCAGACTGTGATGTGATCATTTATGACTGATGTCCCAGTGTGAGTCTGTGGGACAGCACGTGTCACTAAAACACTCGATGAGCATAAATGCGTCGGCCCAGCGTCGGTGATCTGTGGCTGCTGCTCTTCTAAGGCACTGATTCATTAAACCTTTGTTTTAAACATGAAAATCTGTGTGCTAAACATGTGCCGACACATCTACACCTCCATGGAAATATACCAAACATGTTCTTTTAGTGACATCGTATTTATGATCCGGACACTGTGTACATAAATCATATCCTGACAAAGAGCTGCTGATTCTGAGCGTTCATCTACAAAGCAGCAGATAAAAAGGTTTTGGACAGACGGAGAAAAATGAATTTTTATAATCAAGATAGCAAGAAGCTCATGTTTGTGCTGTATGTAACATTAAGATCCTAAGAGTTGTCTAGTGCATTAATAAATGTGCATTTTTTGTGTTTCATGAACAGATGTGCTCTACAAACATCTCCTGGCTTCAGCACGAGCTGTGCTTCATGTTCGTTTACCATCACTGGAAATGTGCGTGGCCTCCTGAAGAATGTGCACTTCCACTAAACGCTTAAATCATGCGACAAACACGCTTCTTTTACTCTAAAATACACATTTCCAGGTGATTTCATTGGTCACACACTGAGGCTAAACTACAGCTCAACTAATGGAAGCTCTCCTTCAGTTTGAAACACCTCCAGGGACCCGGCTGAGGAGCATGGACACACCCTGTTCCAAACGGGGTCACTGCTGTGTTTGGATGTGTTCATGTTGCACTGCACAGCAGCTTTTATATCCCTGTGCTCTGCAGAGGTGTGCTGCAGAGGTGTGCTGCAGAGGTGTGCTGCAGAGGTGTGCGCTACGCTGAATAGTATATGTGTGTCTTTACTTTAGTAAACTGTAGTAACGAGTGTTTAAACTGGAACCCTACAGAGGAGACTTACTGTTAAAAATATCACCTGCATGAATATTTGCACCTACTTTAAAATAAATGTGTGTAGTACCACAGAGTATTCATCTTTACAGCAGTTACACACAGCCAACAAACACAAATCACCTTTGGGATATTCTGATTTTTGTTAAAGATACAAAGAGAAGATGCACACTCAGATGTTTGCAAACGGACAGTCTTCAAGCTACAGTTGTAGTCGATCAGGCTGCAGAAGCACCACCAACACTGGAAGTTGATTGAAGTCCTCTGGCAGCAGGAGAGACGCGTCTAGTTTGTCTGGAGCAGGTTGCTGAGAACTG